TATAAACAAAGCTAAAATGACATAAGGAAAATGTTAACATACAGCAGGCAAGAGATTAATACACATTCTAAAGAGGGTTCACACACACTAAAAGATTAAAAATTAACAAGGAGGGCCAGCCCAGGGCATGATGATAAAGGTGGTTGGATACCATGTGCTGACTTCATGGTTCAAGTCCCGGACTCTGCAGCTGGAGGAACACACCAGTGTGTATGTTCTGGTGAGCCAGCCAGGAGGTAAGCCCCTAATTGGGGGCCCCCTATACTCTGCTCCTTAATCTCTTTGTCATTTTTCATCTTTGTTTCCATTGAGTCTCTCGGCTAAAGCAGTCCAGTGAAGTTGGATTAATAGTTCTTGGTATGTACAGCTTTCATTTAGGGCTAGAAACCGCCTCTGACCAATCTGTTAGGGCCTTATGCATGTGTGTGCCCCAAATCCTCAAAGTGTTGCTAAAATCTGGCAGCTGTTTCTGTGAATAATCAAGAGATGATGCTAAGAGGGAGAAAGTTTATTTAGCTGTGTTCAAAGACAGGGAGTGGTTGAGAGCTAACAAGCCCACAACCAAATCCCCAAACAGAAATTTCGAGCACCTTATATACCAATATGCTTCTCGTTTGCTCACTGTTATCTATAACACAAATTTAGCTAGTTCAGTGTTACTCTTACTGTCATAATTTTCCCAAAATTGTTCTGTGCATTTTTCCCTTTCACAAGACGCTTGCTTATGACTCTGCTTTTGTTCTTAAGGCAAAATTGAACTTATTAACTCAGATTTGTAATATACATTAATAGATCAAGGGAAGCTACAACATAGTTTCTTTTAAAAAATCATTTAATTTTATTATTATTGTTTTAATTTGACCGGAGGCAGAAAGTGAGAAAACAAGCCATCAGGTCGGGGTTCAAACCATATTTGGCCATGTGAAAGTCCAGCACCTTACTCACCATGTCATCTGCCGACCCCAAACATAATTTCTCTTTTTTTTTTTTTTGAGAGAGATTTTTGCTATAGGGCACATGCTCTCATGAAAGGCAGGAGGGATAGCTACACCACCATCCCTTTTCTTCCATTCTCCTCTTGGGATTTTGGGCACCTACACCACCCAGTGTGAGTTTTAAGTCAATGAATCTGGAACTCAAACCATGGTCTATTATGTGGGAGTCTAGCAACATAACCATTACACCATCTGCTGGTCCCCCAAACTTTAAGCTATACTGTTGAACAAAACAATCTAAACATCTGTAACAATTATGGTAAACATCAGTATTAGAATTTTCCCAATTTAATCTGTTACATTGTGTCTTCTGAATAAACATTCCCATCTCTTACCATTTGTTTCTGGGACCCTCCCCCCAACCCTATCCCTTTTGTTTGCATCTTTGTGACCACTGTCAAAAGCAAGTAGCTTAAGTTTCCTCTTCTAAGCAAACACTTATTTAGGATCTTATTTGGTACAATTGTTACAGATTACACTAGCTACAGAAGCTACAAGCACTAGTTAACTCTTAAAGTATAAGAAAGAGGAATAAAGCAAAAAAAAAAGTTAAAAAGTTTTTTTTTTAATTTTTTTATTATTATAAAAGGAGGAGGGAGAAATAGATTGCAGCATTGATAATGAGCCATGGAAGATGCTTTCACATTTTCCCAGGCTCTCTTCCTGTCTCTCTGAGGATATTAAATACACCTGGCATCTGGCAAATTAATTTTAAAAAAAAAGACAAAAAATGTTAACAATCTATCCAAAAAAACAAAATTAGTAACACACTTATAAAAAAAATACTCCATCTCACTAGGTAGGAGTTAAATTTTTTTCTAAAGAAAAATTATTATTTCAATACCTTCCTCTTTTGACTACCTAGATTTTTAGAGTGCACACAATGCATAGAGGCAGTCTACTATTAATCTTTTTAAACATTATTTAATTTATTCATTCATTTATTTTTAATATAACCAGAGTAAGACACATAGAGAGAAGGAAAGTGAGAAAGCAAGCCACTAGGTCCAGGACTTGAACTGTGGTTGGCCATGTGGGAGTGTTCAGCGCCTTAACTACCATGCCACCTGCTGGTCCCACTATTAATTAATCTTTTTTTTAAAAAAATTATTATTTATTTACTTTTATCATTCATTCATTTTCTTTTAATTTGACCAGAGAGATACACAGAGAGAGAGAAAAAGAGAGAAAGTGAGAAAGCAAGCCACCAGGTCCAGGACATGAACCATGGTCAGTCATGTGGGAGTGTTCAGCGCCTTAATCACCACACCAACTACTGGTCCCCCCTCTATTAATTAATCTTTAAAAGTTTTCCATAAGGGAAAAATGAGAGGGAGATAAAAAAAAATTAAGATGCCAGTACTTACTAAACCCTAAAGTACAGAGGCTAAGGAATGTCTTCTACATTAAGAAGAATCTCGGGCCAGCAGGTGGCATGGTGGTTAAGGCACTGGATTCTCACTATGGTTTGAGTCCTGGATCTGATGACTTTCTCACTTTCCCTCTCTCTCTTTGGTCAAATTAAAATAAAGTTAAATAATTCTTTTTTAAAAAGGATTATTTTACTTCATTTTATTATTTTTAATTTTACCAGAGAGAGACAGAGTGAGAGAGAGAGAGGGAAACTGAGAAAGCAAGCCACTAGGTCCGGGCCTTGAATCATGGTCAGCCTTGTGGTAGTCCAGCACCCTTAACCATAATGCCACCTGTGGCCCCAGATATATAATTCTTAAAAAAGTAAAAATGATCTCTTTCAGAGACAACAGGGATAATCAAGGGTTTCTTCCCTTTTTGTTTAAAGCACTTCTCAGATGAACAAACTGTTCATATCCAAAGTTTTTCCCCAAATGGCTACTGCAATTCCAAGTTCACTCTGGTGAAACCATGCAAGCAAGATACACATTTGTTATACTGAGAAAACATTAAGGAAGCAGGTATTTGGGCCAGAAGAGGCAGGGTTTTCAATTGAGAGTACCTTACAAAAAGTGCCATGGTATTTAAAGATGGTGCTTGTATAAATTTGATGCTGGAACTTGGCCAAGGGCAAATGCTACCAATTAAAAAGCGAGAGAGACAAATCTTTTTTATTTAAATAATGATTTAAAATTTATTTATTCATTCATTTATTTTAATTTGACCAGAAAGAGACACACACAGAAAGATAAAAAGATTGCGAGAAAGCAGGCCACCAGGTCCAGAACTCAAACCGTAGCCGTCCATGTGGGAGTGTCCAGTGCCCCAGTCACCACACCACCCGCTGGTCCCCTGAGAGAGACCAATCTTACTGTGGGTAGAACAAACCAAACAAAAGACACAAAGTCAAGATTTCTTTTACTTGGTTTCTTTTATCCCTCTCTAGGTCAAGTTGGATTCTACTTACAAAGCCCACAGTTCCCAGACTTTCCCATCAAATGCCCAGTACTGAAGGGTGCAAACTCCTGATATGTTCCTGACTACTGAGATGGTTTCAGTTGACTTCGATTCCACTGAAATGTTTCAGTACTGGCCGAATACTTTGAGTTTTCAGGTTTGTCAGATGTTTGTTGCTTCTTTTCTTCCTCCTACACGATGGCTTGAGATCATGTTGGTTTTGTAACTCCTGGTGGCCCTCTGTTACTTGGTTTGGTTGTAGTCGCTGGCAAAGGGTTTCAGTTTTGCTATCCTAGTTGCTGTGTGTTTTTAAGCAGGGATGTGGGGAAATTAAAAACCTATGGCACTAACATTGTTACCGTCTCTCTCTTGTCCTTTCTGAGAGCAAGGGAAACCTCCAGAGATGTATCCCAATAGCCGGCCTACACATTTCACTTAGCTAGAACTAGAACACATGTCTAAGTAAACCCAGTGACAAGGTGGTGTTAAACCAAGAATAGCATCAAGACTCATTTCCTGGAATTAGAACAAACAAGAGAGCACATAGGTGCAAAGAAAGTAACTGAGTGCAAATCGGGCTCTGGATAAAAGGCAGAAAGGCAGCAGCAGTAGACAGGGAAACAGATTCAACTGCAAAACTAAATGTGTTATGAACATTATTTTTCAACATTCTTGACAGTAATTCACAGAAAGAAATACATTTTACATCATTACCCTGTATACATATACATCCGCACACATACAATTATGTACCTGAGGAAAGCTTCATGAACAATACTATTAGTATACTGGAAAATAAAAACCTAAGTCCAAACATAATTTTACTGACATTTAAATATAGCATGTCCTTGGGTCCAGATAGGTGGTATGGTTGTTAAGGCAACTGGATCCCACATAGTTGACTTTGTGGTTCAAGTCCCAAACCTGGTGGATTGAAAAATATATCAGGAGCATGCCCATAATCCCAAGAGGAGAGTAGAAAAAGGATTGCAGTGTGGCCACTTTGCCCTACTGGGGGGTGATTTCTCACTTTACCTCCCTCTCTCAGGTGAGCACACATGCCCTACAACAAATTGGGAAAAAAAAGTCCCCAAATCACTTAAAAAGTACAAAAACAGAGTATAGAGGAGAAGGTGCTGGATCCCACATGGCTGACTGTGTGGTTCGAATCCCAGACCCAGAGACTTGAAAATCACACCAGGTGCATGAGCACGCTTGCCTAATACAGAGAGAGGACTGGAGGGAAAG